TTTCTTCTTCCTATCCAAGTCTGCTATTGAACCCCTCTAGGGAACCTCTCAATTCATTTATTTTATTTTTTATATCCAGAGTTTCTGTTTGGTTCTTTATCATTTCTGTTTCTTTGTGGATACTCTCAGTTTCTTCTCTATCTGTATTCTCTGGGAAAAAAAATTGCATAAAATGGCATTATTTCTTAAACATTTGTTAGTATTCATTGGTAAAACCATCTGAAAAAAACTTACTAACTGTTCTATTCATTTATCCAATATTCAACAAATACTTATAGAGAACCTTCTCTGTGCCAGTCTTTAGAATATATCAGTGAACAACCTGGATAAAAATTTCAATCCTCATGGAACATATGTTCTGATAGTGTAGAAGAACAATAAATGAAACATATTAAGTAGGATGTGATGTGGTGTTTTAGAAGGTAATAAGTGTTATGAAAATAGACCAGAGTTGGGAGGCAGGATGAGGCGGAGGAGGGCAGCAGTGAGATTTTAAATAGGATGGTCAGGATAGGACTTATTGAGAAAGTGATGGCTAATGCAAGACTTGAAAGAAATGAGGAAGTAGATTATGTGAATATCTGGAGAAAGGGCATTCCAGGCAGAAGAAAGAGACAGCCCAATGGGAGATCATCTCTGCTATGTTTTAGAATGAACATGAAGGCAGTTTGGTTATTTTATTAAAGAAGAATTAAGTGCAGGTTTACAAAAGCAGTCAGGATAATTGTTGAGATGCATATGAAGATCCTGAAGAAAAAAAAATAAGATACTTTTTCATTCTATTATGGTCTTTTTTCTACTGTGAAAGAAAACAATAGTCAAATATATAATAAAAATTAAAAAGACGATTCTTCATTTTTTTCACACATTTTAATTAATTAATTTTTTTTATGGTGACATTGGTTAATGAAATCCAGTAAGTTTCAGCTGTATACTATAACAGTAAGGCATATATACATTTTCACTGTGTGTTCACCTCCTGTAGTTAAATTTCTTTCTGTCACCACATGTTTGACCCCATTTACCCTGTCTGCCTCCCCCTCCCCCACCTCCTACCCTCCGGTAACCACTAGTCTATAGTCCATGTCCATGAGTCTCTGTTTGTCCTGTTCATTTGTTGCTTTTAGATTTATATCCCACATATAAGTGATATCATGTGATTTTCAACTTTGTCTGGCTTATTTTGCTAAGCATGATTATCTCAAGGTCCATCTATGTTGTTGTATTTCATCTATTCTTATGGCTGAGTAATATTCCATTGTATATATGTACCATAGCTTCTTTATCCAATCATCTATATAATATCTTTTTGGATATGAGTTTTCAAGTCTTTAGGGTAAATACCCAGTAGAGTAATTGCTGGATCATATGGTAGATCAATTTTTAGGTTTTTTAGGAACCTCCATACTGTTTACCATACTGGCTGTACCAATTTGAAGTCCCACCAGCAGTGTATGAGGGTTCCTTTTTGATTCTTCATTTTTTAAATGTAACTTTATAAATACTTTTTCAGAATTATGGTAAATACATATATCAAAGTGCAGTAAAAATATATGTCAAAAATAATTCTTTAGCTGACATGATTACATAATTAAGAACTTAATTACATGTTTTAGTTTTATGAGCTAGAGACCTATTTTTTATTCTACGAGTTCTAAAGGACTATAAAAAATGCGAGTATTTATTGCTATGCAGAATATAATTTACTGTAGTCATTAAATAATTAGTTGTTTACTACCATGACAGTTTATTTTATTCTTAAAGAATAAACAACTCAGTGGTGGGAAAAGTATAATTTAGGAGTTGGAAGACTTCCTCCTGTTTTAATTCTTGAAATTCTTTAATATTTGATTTTGAGGAAGTCATTTTACGCTTTATTTTACCAAGTTGATAGGAGTTTTGTTTGTTTTAAATGAGATTTGACCAAGTGTATTCTGTTTCCAAATTGCCCGTGCTTTTGCCATTCTGCGGTTATTATTTTATGATGTTTTATAATGTAATTGCAAAGTACTGCTATCAATATTTGTGTGATTGAGAACTGCTTGTATTTTAGACAAACTCCTGCTCATGGTTAATATCCATCTCTGATCCTGCTTATTTTCTTTATCTTTTCATGATCACTACAGAATTAATCGCTTCTTCACCTGGGCTACTATTGCACTTTATGTATATTTCTATCATCTATCACTTTTCTTACTATATTAGAGTTTCATATTTATTTATCTCTCCATGAGTTGTCAATCTTTGTGTCCTCGAAATTCTAAAATACTTTGCACACTATTGGTGTTCAGTCATTTTTCAATTGAATTTTTATGCCTGTATATTTAAATACCAATAATTAATTCCTGATAGTTAATATAGCAGAAATTAAAAACTGTGTTCAATAATATTACTGCTTGAAGGCAGTATTCCATATAATGAATGTTTCTCGTGTTTGGAAACTCCTATTTGAGGCATTTAACAAGATTTAAGTTGGTCTTTTGATCTAGCTTTTATATTATATGGGTGGCATAAATACCTATTTCCATGACTCAGATGTAAGGAGTAGTTATCACTGATTATGAAATCACTAAAGTGATTATTACTGATTGCCACCTACTTGTTCCTTTGCATTTCAGATCAAAGACACAAATTTCATAAAGATTACGTGTTCTAAGAACTATTCACAAGTTTGTTTTTATGTAGTGATGTCATTTTTAGCAGGCATTCATAGCCATTTACTCGATGATATGCCCTTACAAATAATGAATCAGAATATGATCTTGATTTTGTTTCAATTTTCTAATTCCTTTCGGCTCTTTCTAATGTTTCTCTCTCTTTAAAAAAAAACTTTTGGGAGCCTTTTGAGCCATGCTTCTCTTGCTCAGGCTGCTTCCACTTCTGGAAGTGTAACTTCCTTTCTAATAAAGCTTTTCTACTGTAAAAAAAAATCATAATAAAATAAAAAATAAAAAATAAAATAAAATAAAAACTTTTTGGAAGAACCATAATGATTCATTTATTCAACAGCTATATATTTAACATCTACTATGAGCCAGGTAGAGAGTTAGGCATTATTAGATTTAGAAGTAAACAAGACAGATCTTGTCTGCTGTCAAGGTCTCTGCTGTCGTAATAAATAAATAAATATTTGCCCATTTAGCCAGCATTTACTGATTGCCTATCACATGCTTGGCATTGTTCTGGGAATTGTGGATATAATAGTAAAAATAGCGCAATCTTTATTTTTTGTAGCTTACATTCTAATGGAAGAATAATAGCACGTCAGAAGGGCTAACTTTACATAGGGTGGTCAGGAGAGGCCTGTTCTAAGAAAGTGGTGTTTGAGCTGAAATCTGAAAGCTGAGAAGGAACTGAAGAGAAAGAATAACTGGGGCCAGAGAGCAGTTACTGATGACGGGAGTGAACTCATTCTGTTTGATGCATGTTAGTTTGTAGTTTCCGAGATGAGAAGATTAAGAAATGTATAATTGCTTCCATTTTTTTCAATTACTTATTAAGCGAAGGCATCAGTTGGGAAGTTTTGTGGGAGGGAGTGAGCAACAAAGAGGGAACAATTTGAGGAGAGAAAACATTGAGGAGAGAGATCATCATGAAATAGTCACCGCGGAGAGAAGGGAATATACAAACCAAGGACGTGCAGTTTTTTGAGGGTCTAATTGTAGGTTTTTTATCCTGAATTTAAAATGAAACTAGTCAACATGGCTGTGTAGTTTTCTCCAGATATAGACACAAGGGAGAAGAAGATTATTCTTTAACCAGAATTAGTTCCCCCCAGCCACAGGAGATTACAGTAAAGAAAGAGAGGAACAAGTGTTGAGGATGTTTGCAAGACAGTCACAGTAATCCAAGCTGTAGAATTTATGCTGGGAAAGAAGAAAATGAAGAGGGAATGAAGAATGCGGAAGGTTGATTAAGAAAGTAAATGATCGTGGGTTGGTGTGTGGATGAGGTTGAAAGATGTGGTCAGACAAGTGAATTTCATGGGCTAGATTAAAGTACTGGGAGTTCTTTCCACTCTTTTTTTTTCCTTTTGTAATTTCTTACAAATGATTGAATGTAATATATAATATAGAGAAAATGTGGAAGGTTAAGAGCACTACTCAGGAGTCAGAAAGCTGTGCTCTTATCTCAAGTTATATATAAAATCTCCTTTCTAAAGTCACTTGACCTAATTGGCCATATTCCTAATTATTTCAGCCCTGTGCCAGGTGCTGGGCATATAGTATTATCAGATAAAGGTAGGCACAGGATGCTAATGGTGTACAGAGGTGGGTCATGCAACCCAAATAAGATGGAGCGTGGTCACATTTCGAGGAAGTGACATCCAAGCTAAGATCTGACAGATAAGTAGGAGTTAGAATTTAGCAAAGGAAGCATGGCTGGAGGTGGGAGGGAATAGTGAGTAGTAAGATCCCTAATCAAGAAAAAAAAAAGACCTGAAGGATCCCAAGTGGCTAGATTTTAGTGTATGAGAGAAGTGTGGAGACACAAAGCTGGGAAATTAAGCAACAGCCATATTTTAAGTACATGGTAGGTATGTTAAAGAGATTTCATCCTAAAAGCAATTGGGATTTATGTAGAGAAACTATATAAGACATGATCACTTTCAAGTGTGGGATTTGCTTTGATAAAGAAGTTGAATTTTATCATCTGTAAGGTTCATTCTAAAATTCTTTCATACTTGCGTATAAAGCAGTAAATCAAAGTAATTTAAATATGTACCTCTTATTTTAATCTGAAAAGAATTAATAGTAATTAATATAGGACTACGTTAAACATAGAAATAAAGCCCTGCTTACAAAGCATTATTAAACTCATATTAATCTGTTTGCAAAAAGAATTAAAGTTTTCTATGACTGAGTACATTTAGCTACTGATGTATATTTTGCATCGTATCAGTGAAAAATATTAATTTCCCATGAGTTTGTGTGCTATTTAATATCCCCAATCAAATACAGATGAAACTCTGTACTTTTTCTTTCCAGTGATTTTAAACTTTTGAGATGCTTCCATTAATTGGAAAAACAATCATCTTTGATAACTTCCCTGATCCTTCTGATATATGGGAAATCACCGAAACAATTGGCAAGGGAACTTATGGGAAAGTATTTAAAGTTTTGAATAAGAAAAATGGCCAAAAGGCAGCAGTCAAAATTCTGGATCCAATTCACGTAAGTCACCTTGTTTTTATCATGTAATTAACTTTGTTTTTATCTGTATTAAAAAGTCAAAAAGTCTGTAAGTACCTATTTTGATTTATATGTCATTATGTTGGTTATAATGAAAGAAAAAGTCTACTTATTACATTTTCTTTGTTTATATACTTAGCATATTAGAGCCCAATAAATACTTGATAAATGAATAAATATATAATACAAATAAATACATAAATAAATACAGCTCACAACAACTCAACAGTCGATTTCATATTGTTTTAGATTTCAAAAAATTGCAAGACAGACTCATGGCTCTAGAAGTAATTGTAAAATGTCATCTGGATCAGATCTTTTCTTTTTGCATTTATTTAGGCTTCAGGCAGAATTTCTCTTAAGCCCAATCAGAAATGTCTTTTTTTAATTAGATTTTGTTCAGAAAAGGCAAATTGATTTTTAGGTTTGCTTAAATTAAACACTTTCAAAGTAGAAATGGTGTTCATTGATAATCGGGGTGAGGTTCAGTCGTGATAAGGGAACCCGCTTGGCCTTTTGTTTGCCTTGAAGAGCGTGAGGAGATTGATGAGATTCTGATTTCTGGGAATGAGAGCTGGCCATTTTGGAGCGTTTTCAGTGGCTGGGAGATAATGTAGCCCTTCCACAGCATATGGATGAGCCAGAATGAGCTCAGTGATCACATAATCCCCAAACTCCTATTGAGAGCAACTTCTCTAGTTACTCCACTTTCGCGCGTGTGATGGGAGCGTGGCACAATGCAACGTGATTTTGTGGGGAGGACATCAGGGTCCTTATCCTCGTCACAGCTCTTTCACTGACAAACTGGAGGACACTGCAAAAGGTCTCTGGGCTTCTGTTTGTTCATCTTAGGGTTGCTCTTTCCTTTTTGAGAGTTTATTTCTACTAAACCCGTGATAACTACAGTGTTTCATACTATTTTGAGTAAAGGAGAAATAAATTAGATAATGATGAAAAATAATGAGAAGCTGTATACTCAGTCTTAACTGACGCTGAATGTCTTCGTATTCCCTTATTGGAAAGTTCTAAATATTTAAATTGAGGAAAGAGAGACACAAGTAAACTGTACCAGAGTGACTATACCTCTCTCCTCCATTCTTTGAAAATTAGGGTTTGGGGTTCATGGTGGCAAGAGAAAGTCTTCCAAACTGATCCCAATGTATGATTCCATAATCAGTGTCTCTCTCCCATTCCCCTACTTCTTAGTGGAGAAGAATAAATGGATTATGAACACATGTAACCACTATTCTTTCATAATATACTCAAGTTTGGTATACTATTAACTTTTTAAATCATGCTTTGTTGTATTGCTTTAATGGAGCATATTGATTTCACTGCTACAGTATGAAATTTGTTCTTTTGCTGCTTTTATTCTTGTCATAGTACATATATGGTTCTCTAAGAATTATTTACTCTTCATTCATCATGTCACAAGTCAAATAAAAAAGATTTATAACCAAGAGATTATAATCTAAATAAAATAAATTTAAATGCATTGAAGCATTTTACAGGGTGGCTTTTTTTTTAACGGTCTTACTATTACAGATTTTAAACTAGTAATTTTCTCTCTAAGAAAGGGATGAAATGAGCAGGATTAGAAGGTAAGTAGGTAGTAGACTTGCCGTGTAGTCTTGGATCTTACCAATTAGATCATCAGTTCTGTGATTCTAACTTCTCTGGGCTTTAGTTTCTTCTTCTCAAATTAAATCTCTGGTCTGAAATTCTTTCCAGCTCTGTGATTCCATGATTCAGTCTTAAAACATTGGAGATATTAAATGTTACTGTAAAAACAATATTAGAAGTCTTTCTCTTATTTATTACTTTTGAGTTGTTTCATGTATATGTGGTTTTCTAGAAACATGACTAAGTGGCTATCTTGGATTTTTATTGACAGGATGGCAACCAGATCTCCTTCTGGTGAACAGCCCCTTAGCTAGGGGTTATATGTTATCTTATATCGTTTAACTGTATTTAACTTTTTTGAAAGGTAGGAATTTACTAGTTTTTGATAGCTTCTAAATGTCCTGTATTTCAAAGAAACAAAATGAACCAGCTAAAAGTTTTTATTTCAAGTCAATGCTTTTGTTATCGAAACAAAGTTAACACTACAAAAAAAAAAAGGAAAATCATCTGCAGTAGTTCTCCAAATATGTTTCTTTCTAATTACATACAAAAATAGCCTTTTATTTATCTCTTTCTAATTTGATGTAATTAAAATAATTGAAGATGTATTTGAATAGCAAGAAAATCCCAATCTCTCCTTTTAAACAATGTAATGAGAAATTTCGGTACATAGTACTGAGCACAATAAAAACCGTATGACCTTGCTTCAACAAAATTAAATTCTCTATTGGTAGTCTGTATTATGTTTCTGACATTATTCGTGTGTTTCTCACAGTTCTCTTCCTCTGACTTTTTGAAACTAGGATATTGATGAAGAGATTGAAGCGGAGTATAATATTTTAAAAGCACTTTCTGATCACCCTAATGTGGTCAGATTCTATGGGATGTACTTCAAGAAGGATAAAAAAAATGGAGATAAACTCTGGTTGGTTCTTGAGGTAAGTGTTTCAACATTGTTCTATGAGTAGAAATTTGCAATGTGGACTTGGAATGACAACATTTATGTGACATCGATCCCATAAAGCGATTCTACTGCATTCCTGACTGGTCATGTCCTCAGTAGAATGTTGTGCCCAGTTCTGGCCTCCTTATCTTAAGACACTTTGGAAATTAAAGAAAAGACACAAAGGTTATTAAAGATTGAAAGGAAACATCTCCACAATTAAAGACTAAAGAAACCAGGATTATTTTCCTTCCAGAAGAACAAGCTTAAAAGGGATTTCATTATAACGTTTATTTATTCATGCGTATTTTGTTTAACACGTGACTGAGGCTCTGTGCCAGGTGCTGGGCTAGAAGAGAAAATTAATGTAAATGAGGCTTCATTAGACAAAAATGGTAAACTGTGGTTTTTTTTTTTTTTCTGTCCTCATTGAATACTAATGACATAAATTACAGAACCAGGTATTTAAATTTATGGGAGAAAAAACCTCAGTAGAAATGGTGTTGAACACTTAATAAATTGCCAAAAGAAAGCTGTAGGTTCTGTCTTTTCAAGCCCTGAGAGGTGGTTTAGACAATTCTCTCTAATACAGGAGCACTGGAAGGCGCCCCACTAAAGTGACTGCCAGTCCAAGAAAAATGTGGTTTTTCTCATTTTCTTTGCATATTATTATTCAAGGGAGGTAATCATTAATTCTAATAAAATTTTTAGGAATTTTTAAAAGTTGTTGTTATCAGGGTTAGTAAAACCTTTATTAGACCACTGTATCTACACATATTTATTGTGTTTGTTGTGATTTTATTAGCATGAGATTATTTTAGTTCTTTAGGAATGTTCTGTGGATTTTCCTGCAGTGGCACATTGTAGATGATATTGTTTCCTTACTTAGCACTATATTTTTTTATTATGGTTTTAAATGAGTCTAGAGATAATGAATGAACATTGTAGAAAATATTTCAAACTATAAAAAGAACCATTCTTAATATTTAACATATATCCATTTTTTGTATGTTTAAATGATTGACAATATTATATATGAAATTATCCTGTTTTTAACAATATAATATCAGATAGACTTAATCATTTTTATCTTTTTCAAAATAAATACCTTCACTTGGTTAAAAAAAAGCATGTATAACCAAAAGACCTGTAACGTAGAGCAATGATAACCCAGTTTAGTGGTGACCCCTTCTCCTGAGCAGTCTGTGCTTTCGACGTGTTGATTGCCATACCTGGAAATGTGTGCCTGAGCATCTCTTCTCTTTTATTTAGTAATTCATACTGTGAATTCTGACGAAGTTATTATTTGCACTTCTGGAACCCCATGCCCTCCTACTCCATTCTGGAGGTCTGCCATGTATCTGACCTCTAATATTTCTCTGCTGTTCACCTGGGTAGAATCCACTATTTCCTTGATCCCTTGGCCTCCTCTTTCCAAGTTTACTTCTGTTTTACACATCACATACTGAGTGGTATGTGCCTTACTCTTCATTATCCACCGCACTGATGTCATCACATCTTGAGTCCCTTCAGTTCAGTTTCTCTGGGCATCACAACCGCCATTCTCTTGCCTCATCATGTGCGTGTGTGAGCAGTGCTTAGGCTTCTCGGAGCTGAGAATTAGAATATGGGATAAATGGAGAGTCAAGTCTTTTGATTAGAGATTTCCAAAGGATTTCTTTTTCTCTGTCTCTCTCCTCTCAACTCCTCCATTTTTACAGTTACCCAGCCCTGTCTGAGCCAATCTGCTCACCTAACACTTTAGTTTGCGACTTCCTCTGCATTGCCAAATCAGTTACCACTCCGTCATCTGCTTTCCATATTGAAAAATTTTGTCGAAATCTCTTGTCTACTGCTCTTCCTTTTTCTGTTCTCTTCTTTCTTGTAATTTGTACTTTTTATTCCTTTACTAGCATTTTAATGGAGATTCATGAGGGAGAGGAAATAAATTTTTAATAAATAAATGTTTAATCTGCCACCATTAATCGAACCACAGAGCCTTTCAGAATTGTAAAATAGTATTTTCAAGAACCTTTTCAAAATCTGAAACTGTGTATTATTTTATAGAAGTGCAAAAATTTTTAAATAACCAGTTGTTTTTTTTAGAAATAGGCAAATTATGATTTCAGAATTATTTTGTTTTTCAATTAAGTTTTACATAGCTTTATATTTTTAATTAAATCACACATTAAAACAAGCAAAACCTTTTCTCATCTAAACTTAATTACTAAAGTAATAGAATATAAACTATGAATTTAAACCATTTCAACTTAAATTGATGGATAATTTTAAATTTACTTCATGTTCGTGTTTGTATATTTGAGATGTAACGCTGTGCAAATTCTTAATGTCATCTTGAATAAAATTTCTTATTTTTATCTTTCAAAACACTTTCAATAATTGCATCTTTACTTTTTTCCATGTAGAATCATTGGCAGATTCTCATTTGAAAGGAGATTTGGGTATTCTGCCTAATATAGGGCTAAATGGACAAGGACACAAGGTGTAAATCTCTGCTCAGAGTTTAAAAATACTAAATGAGATCAATCATTGTCTTTAATGACAATCAAATCTCTGTTCTAATTATGTTGTCACTTCTGAGTATTATCACTTGGAATTAGGTGAGAGTCAGAGACTCCTAACCATAGTTAAAAGTTCCTTCGAGAGAGCAGAAAAAATTGATTTAAATGGTTTTGGAACATCCAGTACAAGTGAAGCAGCTTCCTGATATAATGAACCAATAGAAACTTAACAACTTCTTTGAGCTTTGTTCTTATATTTTATTAACTGGTGGAGGTATTAGAAATATCCCTAAATAGCTTGAGAAAAAATAAGAAATGGTAGTTTATTAAAATGCTGTTTCAGAGAGCTGATCTATCTGAACTTACAGAGTAGGGAAAAACATGTAAAGAAAGCAAGAAGTTGGCCAACTGTATATAAGATAATTGATTTGCATATGTAAATCAGACTAATTACATATACACATAAGTGTCTAGATGTGCAATTACCTGATTTATAAACATGAATTGTTCAGGAGCTGCTTTAGAAGCACTTTCAGAAAATTGGCTTGTGGAATCAATACTTTATTCTACAAAATGACTGCTAATTATACCTTTTATCATAATAAAGCCCAAATGAATTATTTTGCATGAGGATACCAAGAGAGTGACCAAAGGGAGGCTGTGGTGTTACCCAGTTGTACTAACTAACGCTTGGCTTCTAATGTGAATCTATGCAAAGAAGGTGTGTCTGGAGGGGCTGAGTGATCAGTGATGCCCTTCATTATCAGCCTGGCAGGTGGGGAGCACTATACCTACTTAGACAAACTCCTGCCCCAGTGACTTTTCACCGTGAAAAATTATTTTATTTATATTTCAGTTTAGATGGAAATCCTAAGAATAATGTTTACTCAGATCTTGCTGGACGGTCTGTTTTCTCTATTATTTAGTTGTGATTTTTGAATTATTTCATTCACTTTGATACACTTTTTCAATTTCTTATATTTTTCCTTCATTTTGTTATACTATAAATTTCTGAGCATAAATAATATCCAAGGCTCTGTTTGGGAATTCTTTCTTTCTAACTTTTCTGTATGTTTATTTTCAGAATATAAATGTTACCCAGATTTAGTAAAAGAGAGCTAATTGTCAGCCCCCTGAAGTTCCAGGAATGCACTTGTAAGAAAACTACCTAATAATAAAAAGAAATAGAATGTTTTCTGCTGTGGGATCTAGTTTTTTTTTTATGGTAGGTCTGTGGAGATTTTTATTGTCACTTAACATTTTAGGTTTTCCTACGGATGGAAGCATCAAGGGAGAAATAAAATTTTTTACTTCTTGCTCATTTTAAAATACCATACTTATATTAATTTCTGCCTATTGCTACCACATCTCTTGACTGACCTGCTTAGTAGAACCCCCCTTATCCATGAGGTATATGTTCCAAGACCCCCAGCCTAAAACCGTGACTGGTAATGAACTCTATATAATATGTTTTTTCCTACACATACATACATATGATAAAGTTTAATTTATAAATTAGGCATAGTAAGACATTAACAAAAATAATAATGAAATAGAACTGTATGTAGCAATATGCTGTAATAAAAGTTATGTGAATGTGGTCTCTCCCTCTCTCTCTCTCAACTTATTGTACTTACGTAAAGCATGGATAAGCTGGACAGAGGGATGCTTCATGTTCCGGCTAGAGGAGTGAGACAGCAAGAGACTTCATCACATTACTCAGAATAGTGTGCAATTTAAAACTCAGGAATTGTTTCTTTCTGGAATTTTCCATTTAATATCTTCAGACCGTGGCTGACCACGGGTAACTGAAATCATGGAAAATGAAACCGCCGTTAAGGGGGACTCCTGTACCTCTTTTGGTTTTGTGCTTTAACTCCTAATGTCTACGGCTGAGGGTCCGAGGCAAGGATGGAGGGGAATATGGGAAGGTGGGAGTTGGTTAGGTTTCTGCATATGCTTATCGCTGAACCAGGAGACTAAAAACAGAGTCAAAATTGAGTTAAATATCTGTTATTAAGCATTTACTACTCGTGAACACAAAGGGAAAAACTGAGACTTAACTGCACTTTTCCCCTTCTTGACTGGATGAACAGCTATATTTTAATTCTTAAGGAATCCAGTCTTCTCTCTCAGGGGCTATTTGCATAGTGCACTCAGCCGTATTGAAGCCAAAATTCAGTTAGGACATCTTTCTGTTAAAAGATCCTTTCCCTCATAACCCAGTCTGAGGTATAATTGCTCCTTTCATGGTGGTGCTACAGATGGCATTCTGTCATTTATCTGAATTGGTCCTGATTTGTTCATTCTTAATAGTGACATACCTTTCTCTCATTGCTTTTCCAATTATAGCAAATTTTCTCTTTGAAATTATATCCCTTTCAAGAGATCAAAGACTGGAAATTACAGGTGGTATTCGGAAGCACGAAAATTCAGTAAATAGTCATAAAGTCTCTCAAGTACACATTTTAGG